ACTACCACTTTAAACTGGATTTTACATTGTTGAGTAAAATACATTTACCTCACTATATAGTTTTGAGTGCACTGAAATGAAAAACAATCTAAAACTTGTCGGTAAAATTCATATCTTTAATTGTTGTCTCAATTTCTTGAGTCAAAGGTAACTCTCAGTGAAGAGGAAGAAAGAGATTTGAAATACTAAAATTATATCGTCATCGTCTCAGTGGTGGTGCAGGTGGTTTTATTTTAAAGAACAAGAATATGTCATCTCACCGAAAGAAGGTGAAGCTCTTTTCAGCAATGAGAGGAAATTGATTTGCATCCTTAAAATCTTTCTTTAACTTTGTACATTTTTTGTCTCTTCAAAAATGATAATAATACCATTGTGATTAACAACCACAACTCTCTGTATAACTTACCATAGTTCTAAAGGAGGTCAATGCTCATCATCAGCAACAACAGCTCCAGATCCTTCACCACAAATCAGACAATGCTGTTTAAATAACAAGGAACAGGGATTATACAGGATGTTACATCAGCTATTTTAATGTGAAATTCAGGCAATATTGATGCAATTGTTCTTTTCTTAGTTATAACACATCTCTTTCCACCATGTATTCTTCCATTACATAATAACAGCATAGTTGTCATTCATTTGAAACAGAACATTTGCAGACCAATCTTTAAAAAAAAATCTTTAATTTATTTGCTTGACTCATGATTAATCTCTTTTTCTTTTCTTTTTTGTTAACTTGTTAACACATACATTTCAATAATAGTTATTGGGATCCAAAGGTTGGTACTGTTAAAATAAATTTTAAGATCAAGAATTCTCATTTTCTTAGTTTCGTTACCAATGACTCCTTTCACAAATCTAATATTCAAAAGTTTAGGGTCGGTACAATTTTTTGATATTTTAAAAATACAACTCTTATGCTCCCCAATTCTGCATTCAAAAATAACTGTTTTCTATTTTCATATATTTTAAAATGTAATTTTATTCCTGTGATGGCAAAGCTAATTTTTCAGCACTCATTACTCCAGTCTTCAGTGTCGCATATTGTAATCCAATATTTTTTTTTGTATTATCAGTGTTGAAAACAGTTGTGTTCCTTTCACTCCTTTCATTCACTGCACTGTCAGTTCTGATTGCGGTTCTACAATGTGGACAACCATTAAGTGACTGAAAGAAAAATCCCAGCAAGAAACATGTGCTGTTCAAAAGTAAATTAGGAAATTGGGGATTGCCCCGTGGTCTTCCCTGTCATATTTAATAATTGAGCCTCTTCGTCATTCAGTGTGATGGCACTCATTCTCTTCAAAGGCTATGGGCTGCTTGGCATTGCCAAGATTTCCAATCAAAGAAAAGTTTCCCATCAGCCCATCATAACAGGAGAAATGCAGAGTTGTCTGCTTGACCTGGTCTGACTTCTACTTTAAAGGCGGCGTGTTTAAAAAAAAAATCATGAGAGAGAGAGAGAGGTGATAGTCTCTTCAGTGATCTGTAGTCTCTCTATAGTTCTGTAGTCTCTTAATCTTCTCCATTAGAGAAAACGCTAGACCATAGGAAAGACATTTCTCAAAATTCAACACTTAAGGGGAAAGAACATTTTTGACTGCAAAAGGAAAAGCTCATCCAAAAATGAATATGTGCGAAAAAAATTTACTCACCCTCACACCATACAAGATGTAGATTAATTTATTTGTTCATCGGAACAGATTTAGCATTACTAACTAATTTAGCAGAAATTTACCATTACATGACTTGTTGCTCACCAATGGATTTTCTTCAATGAATGGGTGCCATCAGAGTTCAAACAGCTGATAAAACCGTTGCAATAATTCACAAGTAATCCACACGACTCCAGTCTTAATTATGAATTTATTTCTTACAATCATACAGCTTTACACTTCACATGAAGTTAATTGATCAACTGAAGTTGTGTGGATTTTTGAGATGCTTTTATCATCTGTTTGTACTCTTATTCTAATGGCATCCATTCACTGCAGAGGATCCATTGATGAGCAAGTCATGTTATGTTAAGTTTCTCTAAGTCTGGTCCGATGAAGATAAAAACTCATCTACATCTTGGATGGCCAAAGGGTGAGTTTCATATTTTCATTTTTTGGGTGAACTACTCCATTAAAAACTTTGTGATTTCAAAACTGGCATTGTTTTTTGGCTAATATTTGTGAAGTAGACTCTACTAGTAGACTTACTATGCCGACTTAGAATTTTTTTGTTTCATCAGACTATATTTCTGTAGAAGGTGTGAGGGTGAAATTGGTTGTGTAATGTCAGACCCCTTCTGTGTGAAGTTTGCCACTCATAAAGTAAGAGGCAGGATGGAGAAGGAATTAACAAGCCACCTGCTCCAGGGTCCAGTGCCTCAAATAAAATGAGAGCAACCCGCTTAGACACACCCCCAGGCTCCGACAGATAAAAATAAGATGCCACAATGTGACAGGAATATATGACTACACATAACCCTTCAGTTAACTAGCCATTATTTTGTGATGTATATTCAGCAGATTTTAGTAATTAATCTGAAAGTACAATTATAGCTAGTTTAAAGTGAAGTCATTAGGATTAAAGTGATTTGGATGGATGGATGCTTTGTTCTCTACATATGAATTCTTCTCCTATAAGAAATGATAGAGCATTATACATTTACTTTAAAGTCTCTTACTTTTATCCAAGTGATTGAATAATAACAACAAAAAAAGATTTTCTTCAGTAGGGAAGTCTATGTCTGCCAGTCCATTAAAAATAGAAAATGTCAGAGGAGATTATCACTCTGACCATAGCCCCAAAGCCCAGGTGTCAGTCTGACTCAGTGATTTATTTTACAGTTTGCTCTTGTCCTGAGTTCTGTTGCTGATAAGGGATTAAGGAAGATTTAAAGAAAATTCCATAGCTGGGTCTCTACTGAATCAATTAATTGTATATCAACAAAATTCCCAGTCGAATTATTCAAATGTTTCTCATGCTGTAGGGAAAGCTTCTGAGTTTAATGTCTACAATGATCAGAAAATAATTTTAGCACAAAATATGGAATCAATAATAATTTGGCTTTACTAGGTTCAGGGCTCAACAATAAAAAGGGCTGTTGATGTTGAAAGATGGTTTGTAAGAGCTGCACTTCCCATAAACATTTGGATTTCTCAAGATTGTTCTTGTGAATTATGCCGATTTATATGTCACCAAGCTAACATTGCAAGAATTACTCGTCCTGGAAGCATTAGCTAAAAATTATAATATTTTCTCTGAGGGACAAAGGAGGTTGTGCCTCCTATTAAAAAAAAAAATCACAGGCAAAATAGTATGAAACAGTGTGTAACGGTTTTATTTTAGCATTATTTATATACTATTATCATATTTATTACTAGCTTTTATTTTTATATTTCCAGTTTTCAAGTTTTAGTTACATAAATGTTGTGCTTTTGTCATTTTTATTATCATTTCAGTTTGTAATTTTAGTACTTCAACTTAAACCTAAACTTTTATTTCAATTAGTTGCCATGGAAGGCAGTGTTATGATTGGCTCAATGATCTGTCAATCGGATAATGCCTGCCTATCATGTTCTCTTCATCTCGCAAGCGTACCTAGGATTAATTACACCACTCTGATATACCTGATTGGTCAATCAGTGGTCAGATATTTAATAAAAAGTTACAAAATAGACTATATATATATATATATATATATGGGAACGGAGCGAGGCCGGTGGAGTAAATGCTAATGCACGACACCTGCGCCACTCACCAGTCTCGAGTTCCACGGAGGAGCTCAGGAAGGATAAAAGTAGGAGTGACGACAGTGTTGGATGAGAGAGGACCAGGCCTGGACTTTATTTTGTGTTTTGTGTGCGGCAGTCGTCCGCGAGGGGCTGCCGCTTTACTTTCATTTTGTGTTTGTTTATTTTATTAAAATCTTAAATGTTCGCAGGTTCCCGCTTCCTTAATAGGACACCTGTCAATAAAATGGTCCGGGTTCCTGCAGTGCCCAGAGGCCGGCCCAGACTTTCCCTGCCGCCCTAGTGGCAGTTAGTGGGTCAAATGATTGGCATGGAGAGAGCGGGGAACCAGACGCAACATCAGTCCCAGCCGTGGTCAGCCCCCCTGGGCGGAGCTCTCGGGCCAGTAGCATACTCCAGTCCGGCCCCACCCCGCCCTCGGGGCGGGACTCACGGAGGACCTGGAGGATGGGACCTGGGAAGAGGGACAGGTTGAGAGGCAGAGAGAGAGGGAGAACATAAAGGGGAAGAGAGAACAGCTGGAAGGGATTCGCCGACCCCAGGGCATGCCACCATCTGATCCTCTGCCAGCGACGAGTCCAGCGACGTCGGTCAGTGGCACTGGACCCACTCTGCCGTCTTCTTTGGCAGCCGAGTGATGAACTGCTCCAGTACCACACGGTCGATGATGTGCTCGACGTCGCTTCCCTCAGCCAGTAGCCACTTGTGACATGAGTCCCGGAGCCATTGGGCCAGCATGAAGGGTCGGCCGCTCTCGCCCAGGTCCAGCGAAACTTCCAGGTTTCGGCACCAATGTAACAAAGTTCGTAGTCACGGGAAGAAGGAGGCGGGAACTGGCGAATATTTAAGATTTTAATAAAATAAACAAACACAAAATGAAAGTAAAGCGGCAGCCCCTCGCAGACGACTGGCGCACACAAAACACAAAATAAAGTCCAGGCCTGGTCCTCTCTCATCCAACACTGTCGTCACTCCTCCTTTTATCCTTCCGGAGCTCCTCCGTGGGACTCGAGACCAGTGAGTGGCGCAGGTGTCATGCATTAGCATTTACTCCCCCGGCCTCGCTCCGTTCCCATGGCTCTCGGCCCCGCCCCTCTCATCACAATATATATATATATATATATATATAAATAAAATGTTTGTATTATCATATTTGTGTTGAGTTTGAGGCCAGTAAAAATTGTGCTATTGTTAAGAAATGCTCATTTCTTTCCTGTTCTCGAGCACTAAAAAGTGGTCTCTTCTTGTTCACAGTGCCGATCAGAGGTCTATTTGTGGAGTTGATGATCTCACCCTAGTGCCCGAGTTGTGATGTGGGGGTGCACCATGGCAATACAAGGTTCAATGGTGAGCCTGGCTTTACTGTTCTTTGCGATTCAAGCTGTTCCTAACCCCACCAGCAAACTAGTGAGGACCACAAGGGTGAGGCGACAGGTTCCCGAAGGTAGGGTTCCCTCTAGCAACCAGACCCAGGCCATGATCTTCAATCATGTATACAACATCAATGTACCTCTAGAGTCACTCTGTTCAGTGGACCTTGACACGGTACCAGGGCCAGGGACAAACAAAGGTACAGCTGGGAGTGACAAGATGCCGACAGAGTACACAGAAGAGACAGTGGACGCGGACAGCCAGGTGCCCTTCCCCCATCGCATCAATATCCCAAAGCAGGCCTATGCTTGTCCTGCGGCTGCCGCCATGGAACAGCTGGCTAACCGCGTAGAGATGCTGGAGAGGGAGGTGTCCTTGCTTCGAGCACAGTGTAGCTCCAGCTGCTG